AAAAACACTAAAACCGTCCACTAAAAACCTTTATTATCCTGCGCCATTGACGATCCTACATGCCAAGGCTTGAAAATAATTGGTTTTCGGATTTTATTCCGGCATATGTCAATAGCAAAAATCGTTCAATCGGAACAAATTTATTTCGACAGGGTTTGGTAGTATTATGTCCCTTGCCATTGAGATGTGTTGGACATGCCAACTGCGGACAAAATGCTATTCCGATTGATGAAATACACACAATACAGTCAATACATTTTCAAAATATTGCTACTCGCTTTATTTACAAAGTCACAGGAGGCTTAGTTTGTGAGACAACGGGCGTTTAATTGTTAAAAAAAGTGACTATTTTTGTTACATTTCAAGAATCTACAAAGCAATTTTATTCAAATTTGATACGACTGAAAATCAACTCCTACACATTTTAGTAAACCTACTATCCGCATCATTGTACATGACATACATGTCTGCCTCTGACCTGAAACCTCGCATCGATCAATTTATTCGATACGTATCTAGCAGCGCCCTTATGGCTGCCTTGTCGCCATGGCGTGCATGTGAACAATCGGGGGTTTTTGCTGAGAGCATTTTATTGCCGTCTGTGCGTGTGTGAGTTTAACGCTTTGCTTGGTCGAGTGTATGGTACATGTTTTTATGGCAGTCAGTAGCATTGTGTATGATAAGCATAGAGCGGTACAAGGCTTGACCACAGATTTAGGCTTTAACCAAAAGTAGTATCCAAATATGAATGACATATTTTCAAAAACTTTTAAGATAACTTTAAAAATATGTCTATCATCCCCTTTTAAGGGAAAAAAGTAGAGCTATCCTTATTTTTTGTGTAGTGTCCATCTCAAAATTTTAGGACCACGCTATACGAGACAATCATCATACTAGGTACTTAAACATATTTTTAACAAGACATTAACTTTATACACTTATTACAAATCATGTCTAATAGACATGAATCATTGGTATAGTCTTTCCGAAGTCAGTTGAACATATAAAAAACACCTGGCAGTAAAATTTAATGACTTTCATAAGCATCCCTAAAAAAACTTTCTGCTAAAGGAAAAAAATTATAATAATTTGTATATAATGTGTAGAAAATTTCTATTATATGTTCATTTGGGCAACAACATATTTTAATTATTTATGTCCTCAAACAATTTTATTAAATTGATGGTAAATTTCGTTTTGTTCTGTTTCAAAAGGTCTGCAAAATGCCATGTTGTAATAGTATTATTTCTCACTTTTGCAATAGTAATAACAATGATGAATAGAAGGTGCCTATAATAAATTAAAATTACTTGAATCACACCAAATTCCGCATTGCTGCACTGCACTGCTGGGCAATTTGTCAACTACATGTCAACAGCTGAGATTTACATATATTTCTACCACAATTTTCTACATTATTATTATTATTCAATTGACATCGGAAAGACTATACATGAAAGTGTCGTTTTTTTTTAATGAATAAAGCCATTTGCTCAATATGAAAATAATTTATATGAATGTCGCCTAAAAGCGACTCTTTCACTTCAGTTTTTTAAAAAAAGTAAAAAAAAGTAATCAAAGTGAATTCACTGGAATCCCTACAACAGTAAATACTGATTAAAAAATGTGTTCCAACCTACATTATTAAAATAGAGAATAGCTCGGAAAATAGCTACAAGAATTTGTTTCCCCTTCACCTATTTAGTAATCGTAAATAGTTTTCGCATCAAAATGGGAATGTGACAAGCTAAAAAAAAATAAATCCGACAGTCGGATATAAATATATCCTAAGGGAGGTGAAAATCTAAAAATACAATTCACGTGAACTAGTTAGGTATATTTAGAATTACATTAGTGGATACCAGAATTTTAAATATACGAAACGCGTTAAAGCATTAAATAAACAGCACTCTATTCCACATTTCTGCATTATATAGATCATAATTCCAAAATAAAATGTAGTAAAGCGATACGCGTCTTCCGTTAGCAAGTTAAAACGAGAACCGTAACGTGTAATTAGTGTAATTTTCTACGCACGACATGCCTCCGACTGACCCACATACGAAAAATGAATCTAATAATCAATACCCGAATAGAACGAAATAACAGACGAATTTAATGCTGTTATACCTGTGGAACGAAAATGGGTTTTCGCCTAAATAGCAGAAGTCTATTTTTAATGCGTTATTTCATTCAACGAAAATGTTAGAATTGCGCCACTCGAAGATATTTTCTTAATTTAAATTTATCCTCACATCCTCCACAAAATACTTTAAAAAATTAAAAGAGATTACTTAAATTGTGGAATTTCTTTAATATTGCAATTATTTATTACTTATTTTATTTCACCATTAAGTAATTGAAATTTGTTCCCATTGGATAGCAGGTAAGCTAAATAAAGAAGGCCTACTTACACGCAGACTGGCATAAACATAGTAAAAAATGTATTAATCACCAATCTAGTCACCCTTTTGATATTTAATAATCATTGTTATCAGAAGTGACCCGATTAATATCAAAACGTTTCACGTACCGATACATAACCTCTTATAAGATACGCCACTGACGTACACCTACGTAGAATGGCGAATGCGCAAGTAAAAAAAGTTTGGCCATTATCCAAACTACATAATATTATTAGTAAACAAAGGTTTGAATTTACTTATTTGTGTATATAGTACGATATACCGAACAGATTTTCATTTCTGGACAATATCTATTATTTATTTTACATCAATAGTCTACCAATACATGTTATTGTAATAACTTGCAATACCAACGAAATAACATGACGCAATTAAGATAATTTAGTTTTTTAAATATAGAAATACATTAGGATTATTAGGAATTTTATTATTATTGATAGTATTTAAAAGGTTGAGAGATAAATGTTTATATATTAAGTTTATCTCGATTATGCTAATTGAATTATTTAGGAACTGACAAAATTCATATGCCCCAAGACGTCACCTAGTTAATAGTTTCATCTTCACCTAATGACTGAGTAATTAGTGAATTGTAACCAAAACATCCCAACTTAAGTCCTTCATTCAATAAAATCTGCAATTTAAATTGCATAATAAACAAATGGATGCATAAAAACAATCCAATTTAAAACTGTGATCATGTCAGAACCATAGTGATTTGGTTTAAACGATTTTGAAATTTATTACTTTCAAATTGGTAATTAGATTGGAAAACGGATGCAGAATATTTGCATTAAAAAAGTGTTTAAATGGATTACTTACGCAAATCCCCAGTTTACGAGCACCCGACAAAACGTAAATAAACAACTAACTTGCGTAAAGCGACACCAAAAACGGAGAGCAAACAATTAAAACCAAATAATATCTAATTGTAAACGAAAGCACTAAAACATTACAATTCGGACAGGTTAGAGGCACATACTGCGTCTGGATTACATGCATTTGTTATCGCGAGCCCAAATATTGCACCGCCAACCCCGTTTACTCTCCTCGTATTAGGTAACAATCGCAGGGTGCCGGGTAAACATCCAACCTGTCAACATAGAAACACAACGTCTGCTATTACCTTGGGAGGGTCGGGCAAATCCACGGATTTAGCAACAACAATCACTGATAAACACTCACTGCGCGTTCGGCAGACCGGCAAATATCAATGCCAGTCGTTACGACAGCACACGGTTCCGTCCAAGTTCCGAAGCCGGTATTCAGTGTTTACCCGCGAGGCTATCGCGCCGTTCGCGATTTGTACAGCACGTCAGCGCGGTCCGCACAGACCAGACTTCACTTCCTCATACCACGGACTGCGCGGGCGCAGACCGGGGGTCCCGTTCGTTTCATGCGACTACGTCGAATTCGCTCGCACCAACCCTCGCGGGGTACGCGGATGGATTCGCCTGCTGCAAATGCGAGGGCTGGGAAGCGCTGATATCGCCGGCATCTTTTGTTTGTCTTTTGTAGACGATTTTGTACGGCCTGCGTGATTGATGGGGCGTTTATCGCATTAACCGCCGATTGCGGGCCGATACAAACCGCAATTTTCGCTGACGAGACGCACCAAGTCCGACACCATGTCCAGAAAAGATTGAAAAAATAATAATTTGGTTGTTACGCATCTCGATGTCTTGATTCGTTTGAGGTACAGGGCGTTTTTCAAGTTTGGTCATTTTCTATGATGCTGAATCACTTTTTTATTTGTGAAAATATTCGATTGTAACAAAGTTTTTTACACAGTTTTTTGCGTAGAATGAAACGGCGCACGCTATATTATTTTATAACTTTTGCTTTTTCAGATATAAACTTATATTTATTTTTAAGATATATGCATCAAAAACTATTGTAATTCAATTGTTTCTTGATATAATTCTGTGTATGGCCCATTTTTTATTCCCCAATACATCAAATACATCCATGATCCATGGCACACTTAGTTGTGTCAAGAAACAGTTGAATAACAAAATTATTTTTCTTCCTCGAAAAAATTGAGTGACCTCATTTCAGAGGAAATTTTACATATTTCAAAAATTTTAAAATATCTATATGGTGTTCCACTTATAAAAAAAATAGTAAAAAGTAAAAAAAAAAATTAAAAAAAGTTTGTAATAGCTGAAAAATCAGAGTTATAGAATTTCGCGTGCGCCGCTGGATTTAGGAAAAAAACTATGTAAAAAGTCTTAAAAGAAACAAATATTTTCACAAATAAAAAAGTTATCCTAGAAAACCATTAAAAAACCAAATATTTCACTGAAAAACTGAAAGATGGCCTCCATCTCCAAACAAATCAAGATATCAATGATTATGGTATTGAAATTTTTTCGAAAATGTAACCCGTAACACTCAAAGTACTTTTTTTTTCTCTTCGGAAAATACGAGAGACCCCCCTAAAACCGTTGAATTTAGCCCACTCTGTACACCACGAGATTTTATTTATTTTTATGAACTGCGCCTTTTTTTTTTGGTCACTTAGCCAATTTTTTAAGGGACGTCCATGGTTCTAGCTTAAATAAATTTACTCGATTAAATCATAAAATAAATGTATTTAAATCGATCACATATAGTTATACAATAAATACAGTTTCAACAAAAAAATAACAAGAAGGCTTAATAGATTTTCGTTACATTAAAATAGTAAAATATAAAGTTAAAAAACCACTTTGGAATCCAATCGAAAGTAAGCAGCGGCCCATTTTCTTCGCTTTTAAAAACAGAAACTTAAATTACCAAAAAAATAAAAAATTGATAGTGTTTACATTAATTCTTTTCTTAAAGGCCGAAACGTAAAATCAGTTGTGAGTCATTTTTATTTACGTTAAAATAAAAAGAATATGGGCTTACTCTTTACAACTAACAAGGAACTGGTTCATCACCATTTAACCTAATTGGCTTTTCTTTCCCCTACCCATTTCCTTATTTCTTCGGCTAATTCTTTATTTGGTATAACCTGCTCCATCGAAAGAGGCGACCTATTGAAAGGATCAGTTTGGTCACTCAGAAGGTGCCTACAACAAAAAAAATAATATTGGGTTGCTATATACTGGGCGTTTCGCTTAAAACTCCCCAGCCTGACATCTCGAAAACCAAACGACATACCTAAATCCTCAAAAACATATTGGCAGACAGCAAAAATTTGTTCTTCCTAAAAAGCATTCCTCACAAACTCACCTAGCAATAGTAGTCCTATCGACGGTCTGCTTGGAACTGGGCAAAATCACGGGATCCGTCATTATCGTGGACATGATCGGATCTAAAAAGTGATCGGGGGCCTCCATCATGGCCTCCTCGTTGGCCTTGTGCTCCAGAGCCTTCTGTGCAACTTTATCGGCGACCTCTTTCAGTTCACCAATTAGCGGACCCCCACCTATCCGAACCATCACGTCTTCCGCTAAGGAGAAGAGGGTCGGGCTGTAAGAACGGCCGTCCTGAGAAACGGCAAGGCAGAAGGCGTCGCTGTCTTTAAGGTGGACGTAGATCTTACAAATTTCTAATACGGTGCCGGCGGGATCGAAGTGGTATTCCTTGGAGTCCTTAACCTAAGAATAGGATGAAATTGTGAAGAAAAACTCTTCTAGAAGGCTATGAAAAATATAAAATATACACAGTGGCTCAAATTAGAACTAGAACAAAACTAGTACAACCCGTAATTAAATAAAATGATACTTAACCTTAAAATTCTTCTTATTCGGGCCTACTAGATTCAATAGAAAATAATTCAGCATGGCCGCTATCCTGTCCACGATGGTGGAATGGGTGAATACAATACTTATTTCGGAAGTAAGTTTCTCTAAGGTAATTATCGTGTCCCTCCCTAATATATTGTCAAACCTAGCCAAGTTCCCTATATGATGCATGTAACTTATATTCTGCGTCCTCTCCCTTGCGCTTAATTGCGACCACTCCCCGTTGTCCCTAAAATATTTAATAAATAATCTTTGTAATTGAAAAATTCTGTTGATCTGGCTATAACAATGTCAGAATTTCAAAAAATGTGAATACTGCTACTTAGAAAAAATATGGCGAGTGTATTTTTTATAAATGAGCGAAAAAAAATTACAGGAACTTTTTAGTAAAACGAGCGGTCCTAGACAGCTTGAAGTTGTGGTACTTTTTACAAATAAACATGGGATACTGACATTATTAAAGAAAAATGAAACAAAACACTATTTTAATACAAAACACCCTGTATCATCAGAACATTTTTACCCTTTATACAAAAAGTTACTTACTGTGCTTGCTGCATCTCCTTCAGCTTCGCCATGTTAGCAAGAGCTTCGTCGAGCAAAAATATCGCATCGTTAATTAACAAATTAGAGAATTTTAAAAAAAGCGGCGGGTTGACCGCCTCCATATTTTTCTCCGCTTCATCTGCCAACTTTCTGCAAAACAATCAACAACAATATTCCGAGCAAAAAAAGAAAGAAACAATATTACCGAAAACGTTCCCTGTGCTCCCCTAACTCCCACAAATAATCAAAAACCGTGTACATCGGTCTGCGGTAGTTGAACTTTTGCTCGAACTCAACACTCTGGCCAGTCATTTCAATTCCGACAAACACATTCATCAAGTTTTCAACAATCTGAAAAACATTTCCGAAAAACAAATTATTAAAATCTCCACCTCGATGTACAAAAGTTTATACTTAATTCTAAAAAATAATTAGCATTGTAATAAATTTAAGATTCAATAAAATTCATATCCAGCAATGTGACAACGGCGTGGCGGATAACACGAGGTATTAAGCTGTCCAGCAATACGTAATTCAGTTGGTATCTGGAATCGGACCGTGTCTGAATGTTTTTTGCGGACCACTATTTCTTTTTCTTGAGGTGTTTTCTAGCAAATGCGCGAATATTGGATTCGAAGGTGTCGTCGTGGTGGACATTTTGAGCATATCTTGCAGTTGTGCGTTTAAAAATTACTGAATTTTGATTTTTGGGAAGTACCTAAATTATTTTTAATACGTATAATTATTTGGATGACGTGAATCTTTGGGTACTTAAATTACATATTTTTCAAATTCATAATTTGATTAAAAATTAAGTTCCTGTTTTAAGAGATTCATAATTACTAAAATCTGAGCTAAAATTTAAGCACAACACTATCTTCGTACTACAAAATCGATACATTTTATTTTATTTATTTAAAAACTGGAAACAGTTGTCTTGAAATTTACTAAATGTCACACAATAATAGTTGTTTACATTTTTTCCATAGGACAAGTTTGCCACGTGCACACATGGTATGCATCAGCTGTGTGGCGTTAAGTTAAACACTGTTGCCACGATGTGATGAAACTCCCTAATATTAATACTTGCTGTATTAATATTATTAATGTTATCTCACTTTGGAGCTCGAAAAAAAAAGGATTTTTTCAATAATTAGTTTTGAGCATTCTTTTGAGCAGAAGAAGTCATCTGGAAGCATATTTTTTTTTTTCACAAACTACACGAGTTTAGCTAGTGAATTACACACGATCATAATTTTAGGAACTTTTTTCGCAAACTGGCAAGACCTTGAACGAAAAATTCGAATTTTCGACAAAAAAGCTCGACTTTGTTTATAAAAAAAAATCCTGTTGACCAATTGTAAAAATCGTGTGTACATCACTAGATAATCACAAGATGAAGTGACAGTTCAATTTTCAAGTCGATCGGATGAAAACTCTTTCAGTTCTGCTGGTCGCCGATTTCAAAAACATGGTTTCGGGAAAAACACGTTTGAAGTTTGAGAATGCTGTAACTTTTGGAAATCATAATAATATGGATCATGTAGATTTTCCAGCCGTGTATAATGTTTTTTTTGCTTTTATTTATTTTTTATTTATTTATTTATTATTTTTTTTTATTTGCTTATTTTCTCGATGATCAGTAAGTTATAGGCGTTTTTACATGCACAAAATTAAAAAATGCTGTATCGACGATATAAGCGAAATCTGTACGTTTTGGAATTCCTGCGAAAAAATTAGTTTTGCGGGTATTTCTGTGGTTTTAACGTATTTAAGCCAATAAAAAAAAAATTAAAAAAATTTTCAAAGTGATATAACCCCTTAAACGTTGTCACGTGATGAAACTTCCTAATATTAGTACTTAATGTATTTTGAAAACCGTTAATCTTACGCCCCTGTAATATACAACTTTTTTTTTCATTTATGATTACTCTATCTCACGCTTACGTAATGGCAGCCAAACTTCCTACACCTTGTATATTAATACATTTTTATTCATTTTTTTTTAGATAGCTGTACCTGTAATTTATGGGGATGCTGCGTAAATAACATTTGCCTCTGGTACCCTCCCAGATTATTTCCTGGAGGTTCGTCCTTATGGAACGGCAAAAGGGACTCTAGGCCTTCCGCAAGTCGTGCCCTCAGATGAGGATTCTTCATGTGGTGTTGAGACCCCATATAAATAAGTATAAAAGTTAAGAGAGGTCTGAGTTTATCAAAGCCTTGTTGCTCGAACGTTTTCGGTGTGAAACGTCTTGTAAATACTAGGAAGGACACTACGTTTTCTACCAAGAATTCTGGAATGCATCTAAAAAAAATACACACTTGATAATCTTGGTTTCAAGCAAACGTGTATGTTACTTACTTTAATGTATTGGGAATTTTACTGGATAATGGAAAATTTATCGGCAACTCGTTTAGAGGTGCATAAGAATTAGGGTCGCTTAAGTCATCATGAACTGCGACTTGGCACAACCAATACGATGTCGCTGACGTAAAATCGAACATATTTTTCATTAGGATCGGATCGGACAGTTGACACTTCAAAGACAAATATCTAAAATTGCAATATCATATGCACTTTTAAATATATTTTTACCATTTAGCCATCACTAATAAGTCGTAAGTTGAATACTTACTTTGATAGTTCATCAGTCATTCTCTCCCTAATCGTACTAACTAAATCAGAATTGCCACCCGCCTGCTGAACAGCATCATTAAACGCTCTTTCTAAACGACCCATCTCCTAACAAGAAATATATATACAATTACAACATTGTTATTTTTCACCTAATATCTTAAAGGGACAGATATATTTATGTGAAACTCGGTTACTTAATTACTACTATTAAAATTAATGTTTAACTTTACTCACATGATTCTGACGAACCAATTTGTCCACCCCCACTTTATAACCGAGGTCTATAGCTTTGTGGCACATATAGAAGCACTCCGTTATAAAATTATAAGAAGAAGCCATCAACCTTTCCTCTTCTAGATCTTCATTGGAAGCAACCGGTAAGAAGCAAGTTTCTCCCGACAAATCCTGCATGTGGATATTTCTGGCTTCAGTTTTTTCATTCTAAAAAAAATAAATTACAACTACCACTACTAAAACAGGTAAAAAATCCAAAAAATCATACTCACAGGAACAGAACAGTACGTCGGATCAACCTTCAAAATTTTATTATCTTTAAAATAGGAGGTAAATGGTTGACACATCCTTAAGATAACATTGCACATGTTAATCATAAAACCATCAGTTACACTAGTATAATTAGCTGGATTTAATTCTGGAGGAGCCTGAGAATTCCAAATTTTTCCTCGATCCACGTTACTCTTTAAACAACTTCCAAGCCATGACAGAGTCTTGTTTTTTACTTTAGAACTACATTTTAATAACGACAATAAAAAATTTTGAATACTTTGAGTGAGCTTATCTAAATTAGCCCATAATATTCCTTCGACTCGCGAATTTGAAGCCTGAAGTAAATAAATTAGTTTTTATGGATTTTTCTTCTCTGTTGCCCGTTTATGTTGTTAACATTCAAAGACAAGTTCATAGTTACCTGATCCATAGGGTCAGTAAAATGGTCAAATTTTCCTCCAGGAACTTTAGGCAATATGGACAGATTAAGAAGAGCTCCGATAGGAGTTATAGCATAATCGGCTCCCACATTAATTCTACTAGGGAAACAACATTCAATAAATAACTCCGCCAAAGTTTCATTAGGAGTCATCACATTTAAGTAATTAAATAACGAGTAGTCTAAACTTATTAACGATGATTTAATCAGCTCATTTGTTAATATTTTATTCATAGATTCTATAAATTTACATAAAGATGCCGTATCTACAAAGAAATCAATAAATCACTAGTATTTATTATAGTCTTAAACTACTTACTATTATTTTCTTCATCAAGTACTTTTTTGCTAGATTCTACAAAGAATGTATCATGGTGAGGCCCAGCTTCTTTCAAAATATTAATCATCTCATTATCGATACTTTGCCCAGAATATAAATCTGGTTGAATAATAGCAGTAGCTACATTCTGTACTATTTTATCTCTAATTTCGTCTGAATCTTCCGCTTTTAATGCTGTACATTCTTTTAATTTTTTATATGCCGAGTATAAATAATTTATGACTCTAGTCTCATGAGCATGTGAATCCGTTTTATCCATTGAATTAAGTTCTGAATTCTCATTACACATAAATAATCTCTCGAATAAAGCATAATGTAACAAACTTATATCCAGTTCCTCTTTCTCATGTACATTTCTTACCTCTTCTAAATATACTAAATTTTTTGCTTTACTATGATCCGAGTTTATAGAAAAACAGAAAATGTCTTCCAAAATATCATTTAGAGATGGTTCTCTCTTATTTCCAGAATCTGCATCTTCAAACAATGCAGTAAATGGATTTATACCTGACATTTTTTAAAAGTATCACTGAAAAATTAAAAATATAATAGTATTTCCACAAATTTTTTAACAAAACAAAACAATCAGTTATTTATCTCGTTACTCTCGTTTGTGCTGACATGACATCCATTTGACAGTTAATTTTTGAAACTTCTATTCTTCTTCTTCTACAGAAGTTGACACATGATTAAACGGTGGTCTGTGACCTTTGTTCACAAACTTAGAAAAAAGTAATAGCATTGTTTAAATATCCTATAGGATATTTAAACAATGGTAATAGTTTGAGTCAACTGTTCACGTTGACTGCAAATTCAGAGCCAACCTATTCGTTCTGATTATATTCACAGATTTGTAGGCCATTTATTATAAGTCCAATGGTATTCACCTTTTTCCAGATCCAAATGGTATACAAGTAAATATTTCACTTAGAGCAGTGGGGTTGTGGTCCACAAACAAGGGGGAGTTAATTTACTGTTTTCTAGAGTGAGCTCTAGGATCACGTGACTTAGGGCATTTTCAGACCTATCATATCTCTCTTTCGTAGCTTTTGTCATAATTACAGTTTAGAAAAACATGTGTAACTGTAAAGTTTAATAATACCTATTCCAATACACAAACTATGGATCTCGGGTTCCTCAGGGCTAAATACTTGGTCCACTATTTTTTTAATATCTATAAATAATCTTCTAACTCATGTTAGTACTGATTGCACTGTATTCCTGAGGGACTCCGAAATAATTTGAATAGCGTCAAAAGTTAATAGAATTCTTATTTCACAAAAAAGAATTATCCGATTAATATTTGGAATTGCTTCACAAACTTCTTGTAACTTTATAGAAAATAGTATATAAACTTTTCCTTGTATTTATATTTATAAGTGTATATTAGAGGTTTAAAAAAGGGGAAGTTATTTTGTTTGAAACGCTGACATTCACGGTTACCAAAAACTAGACTAATTTGTCAATTTTGCACACAATTTTACCCTTCCCATTTTAAAGGTTGCAGCTGTATTATATGTTTTGTGATTGTAGCCGTTGAACTTTGTTTGACTAAAATTACTAAGAGATAAAACTTCCTTGATTGCTGGTAGCGATCTGTATTATTTTTCATTTATCCAACAGAAATAGAACAAATGTTGAAATACGGTCCCATATTTGATAGACATTCTTATCATCAACTGGTGATTGGCCAGTTACTATTCGTAGTGGGGAACTAGGCAACCTATCTGTTTATAAGCCTTGCGCTACAGTAGCCAATCGAAGGAATTCAATCTCTTTTTCTTAGAAGTGCAGTGAGTATTGGCACAGAATTATAACACCAGAAGCGACAGTTCCGCTTCCCGCCAATTTTTTTTTCGAGTGCGCATGTGCGAAAATCGCCATTATTTTGTAAGTATTTCCGTCAACCTCAAAATATTTTATGTTTGATGCGTGTGTCAACAGTTACTGTATTTCTTGTATTCGTGCATAAATACTTTTTTATTTCTGTATAATATCATGAGTAGAAAAGGTGGAACAGTTTGTGTTGTTCGTGGGTGTTAGTTCGTTGTAGTATTATATTTTTTATATACTTAAATATAACATACCAACTGTTAAGATACATACTTGTATTTATTTCATATAAGAAAATTTGTTTGTATTTTGTAAATTTTAATTAAATAAAAATATCGCTTAAAAAATTCACTTAATTTTTTCATTTCTTCTTTCTAAAACTTCTTTTTAAAAACAAAAAATAATCAGAACTGTCCAGGGCACAAAACGTAAATTTTTTTAGTATCATCAACACAAATTATGATTAAATATTTTATTTTAATTTTCATTTATTGTTATCATCAACAATAAGAGAGTGTTATAGACAAGTACGTAATGATGAATGAAATAATGAAAATATATAAGTACTTGCTATATAATAATTATATTTATCTAACAACAAGCTGTCACTATGCCTTATTTTATGAATGAAATATAAAATAAATTACTGAAATAAAGTATACCATAAAATTAAGAAGAATCCACACCATATTTATGTAGGTAAATCTCTATTCAATGAATTAAAAAAAGTTTATATAAACAACACAACTGATTGTTGTCACTTTTAAATTTGGCGCTTCTCTATACCTACAAAATA